AGTGGAATTTATCGTTAATCCCAATCGGGGCATACAGAAAGGGCACATGTCAATATTTGGATGAATTGACATTTAACGTAAAATGTGTTTTCTAATGACAGCCGCATCGGATTATGCATAAACGGCTCATGTCCGCATCCTCTATGTGTTAGAATTATCGGGTATTGCTACTAAACGTTATGCATAAACGGCACATGTCAGTGACATGTTCCCTTTATGCATAACCTCTACATCTATTTCTTAGTTTGTTGTTGATGCCATCGCAACTAACACATGTAGACCCAAAATGGTGGACAATAGTGAAATGCGCGGCAAAAAATGTAAAAGTGATCCTACTAAATACGACCGTCATATTAGAAAAAAAGCAAGGGTAGAAGGGACGTGTTATACAAGTTCCAAAGGTAAAAATATTCCTGCAAAGCAAGTAGGAGGCCCCCCTTGCAGGTAAGTTGTATAAAGGATTCTTTTATAACAGAAAATCTAACCTTATATTATTTTAGTTGTAGGCTAAAATGCTATGAGAAGTTTAGTGAAGATGATAAGTTGCAAATTTTCCAACGATTCTATTCTCTTCACACCAAAGGCGAACAAGACATCTTTCTCCAGGGTCTTATTCAGGTATTAAATATAAAGCAGAGACGGCCTCGGCAAGGTGAGAAACACAAACCGAAATCAGTTAGTTTCAAGTTTTATGTATTTAAAGGATCTGCTAAAACTGAAGTTTGTCTTAAAGCTTTCATGTCTTTACATGCAGTTACTCATAAACGTGTTAGAAGAATCGAAAGTCTAGCTCAACAGGGCAAGTCACCTAGAGATTTACGCGGAAAACAACCAAGCGCAAATGCCTTTTCTGAAGAAGTCAGAGAATTAGTGCGAGACCACATTCAGTCTTTCCCTGTAAAACTAAGCCACTACTCTGGAACAGACAGGAAATATTTCGATAGGAATTTAACCATTTCTACTATGCATAAGCTTTTTCAACAAAAACACCCAAATGTCGTGTTGAGTTTCTCTTTTTATAGAAGTTATTTTCGTGAAAATTTCAACTTTTCCTTCGGTAGACCCCAGGTTGATGTGTGTTCGACTTGCGAACTGCTAAACAATAAAATAAAAAACAAGAACCTAAATGATACTGCTAAACGGACAGCAGTAGCTGAATTGATGGTCCACAAGTGACGAAGTAAGAAATTTTACTCAAAAGTAAAAAGTGAAACCGAGAATCATGCAGATTCAGAAAATGTCTTGGCTTTGGCATTTGATTATATGCAAAATATCCAGTTGCCAAAGTCACCAGAGTAGATAATAAATAATAAATAATAAGTTCTGGACCGGAAATGAAAGAGAAAATTACAAAAAATTAAAGTTAATACATATTTATATTAAAAATTTAAATTAAACATACTCAAAAAAAGGATACTATTTTCTACTTAAACTACTTAAATATATTTAAACGTTATTCGAAATAGTGGTAAAATGACACCAAGCCAATGTTTTAATACCATCGGCATCGATACATCGCTTGAAATCATGTGGGGAAAGGGCCAATTTGTTTTGTAAAACGGTAAAAACCGTGTGGTTAAAACTTCTAAATAATAACTGTTTTCTACACAAGACGGAATTTGAATGTAAACGGTCGAAATAATTTTGAAATGAAAGCTTTTGTTTAACCACAGCTTTCTTAATACCTTTAGATTTTTTAGTAACTCGCCCATCAGCGATCCGATTTGCGTACACCTTCGATCTAAGCCAATAAATTCGACCATTACGTTTCCACAATTTCTTATACAACTTCTTATACCGATTGGTAACTTTAATTTTAGGAGGTACACCCAACACGGACGTACGTATAAGTATACGTGTGTGTGTATATTCGGTGTCGTTAAGTGGGGGATAAACAAGCGTAGGGGTAATGCACAAATTGAATCGTTCATAGATTGTTGAGAGGCGAAGTTGGTCGCATCGCTTTGCAGTTAACCCTAGCAAAAAAAAACTAAGATGTTGTTTACTGTAGCGGAAAAGGTACAGATTATAAAATGGTTTTATGGTGGCAATTCTGTAGCCCAAATAATTAATTTGTTTCCTGTGGCCTATGAAAACAGATCAATTCCTAGTCGCGGAACAATTTCAAATATTATTAAAAACTTTGAGCGACATGGATGTGTGTCTCCACAGAAACACAAATTACGAAGGGGTAAAAGAGATGAGTTACGTGATACGATGATATGTGCTGATGTTGAACGCAATAAAAATCAGTCAAGCAGACAAGTTGCGGAGACGTTTGCTATCAGCCATGTTGCCGTCCTAAAAACATTAAAGAAACACGGGTACAGGTCGTACAAGGTACAAGGGCGGAATTTTGCTTTACTATGATGGAAATGGCCAACGGAAATGTTGATTTTATAAAAAACATTTTATTTACCGATGAATCTACATTTCCTTTGCATGGTCGGCATAATCCCAGCGTTGC